TATATATATATATATATATATATATATCCGATGCTTTTCGTTAAATCCATGAAAACAATGGAATACAATGGAATGGAATGATACGATATGCCCTCTTTCAGAGTTTGGGATACGCGGATAAGCCGGATTACGCGATGCTGGCAGGTTTGTTCGAACGTTGCCTGAAACGCAGAGGAGTGAAAGCCACGGATCCCTACGATTGGGAGAGACCGTTCATATCGAACGAAAGCTTGCCAACCACCAGATCTCTGCCTAGCAACTATCAGGTTGCCATGCCTCCTGTATTGACCACAGCTACCACGATCAATCAAGCGCCAACCACGCCAAACGTCGATACGAATAATCAGGAGAACGTCGAACCCGACAACAGAAAGGAATTGGACGTAAGGAAGGAACGTTATAGATAGATAGATAGATAGATAGATAGATAGATAGATAGCCTTGTAGATAGACTCGACGTGAAAATTACGTCAAACGTAAGTATCCGTCTGATGTCTGTCATTTGCAGGCACAAATGGATTACGACAGCATATGCCGAAGGAACAAACAACGCGGAGTGGAAGGATCCTCGGTGCCGTTCACATCAGCCATCAGCAATCACGGCCGAGACAAGAATTGCAACGCCACGATACCCACGGTGGTGGACAACACTCATCAACAACAAACTGGTGGACAACAAGCTCAAGGTTACTCTCTCAAGTTTCAAAATCGAATCAATTCAACAAGCACGACTTGTTCACTTGTCGAGAGAGACATCTTCGCGTCACGTCGGTTCACACACGTTCCATCGTTTTTCATCATTTTCTTATTTCTACAGACTCGCCTAAAAAGAGGCGTGCAGTCTCGATGGCAGCAGAACCGCAAACAGGCGTGGTAGATAACGAAGGAGACGCTTTAATGGCATCCGCTCGTTCTGCTTCAGAAGTTCCTCGCAATAAAATCGGAGCTAATGCCGCAGCCCCATTAAGGAAGTCGGCGAGCGGCGCGACATTCGCTCGATTACGAGTGACCGGGTCAGGACCGGAAGCAACGCCTGGCGAACCTCCCAGCCCCCGCGTACAAACGGAAGTCGATGCCTCTTATTGTTCCTACGACGTTACCAATCCCAAATACGTTGGCAATCAGAGTCCCGTACGTATATAACAGAAATCGGATAGTCTGTTCTTCTCGTTGTCGTCGTTGTTGTTGTTGTCGTCGTCGTCGTCGTCGCGTACCAGTGACCACGAAACTGTTGACCACTTGTTTCTACTTTTTTCACGTACACACATACACACACACCACGTTACGCACGTAGGTTACGGAACAAAGAGAACCACTGAAAAGAGAGCCGCGAAGAAGGACGGATGGACGCCAACAGACAAGAACCAACCGCGCTGCCATGAGAGACTGTTCCATTACTCAATTCGCGCAGATAGACGACGACAATGTGTCGGCGTTGCAGCAAGTGACCAAAGGTGGTGGCGGTTTGACCCTCGCTTCTCAGTGGAAGTCGCAATTCGACGATTCCGAGGAGACCGACAACGAATGGAAAGGAGAGAATTTACAGAGCCCCGAGCACAAGGGGACCAACGTGCCGGTTATCGTTGCACAGGTAACCAATTACGAATCATCGCGTTTCTACTCTACATCTCATACTCGCGAGTGTAGTAGTACTATCTAGCTGTACTCGTACTATCTAGCAGTCGAGTTTTTCTCCTCAAGTTTTATTTTATTTTATTTTATCGTACATCTACACAACAAAGACCAACAGTCTCAAGTTTCACATTATTGCTTCAACTTTATTACCTTAATTTAATTTAAGTTTAATTTAATTTAATTTAATTTAATTTAATTTAATTTAATTTAATTTAATTTAATTACTTCTCTTTCCTCAAGTTTCTGTTTTAATTCAGTCATTTCTAAAAATACGCGTGTATATTGATATATTCTAGCCACGTCTGGCCCGTAACGACCACGTCCCCCTTTGATGCGCCCGTTACCTGCTACAGAATCAAATCGACAGTTCTTTATCCATCACCGTTTCGAGCTTTACGCATCTCTTTCTCTCTACGTTCCGTGTTGTTACTTACATTTTTGTCCTCACATTTTGCTGCTTTTGACTTTAGACATTAACTTTAGATGACGTTAATCGCCACCTAATTCCGTCGTCCCTTTGCGCATTGAAAAAGAAAGAAAAGATCAAACACGCGCACGTTTTTAGACAGTTTTTTTTAGACACGCATGTTTTATTTACTTCTTAATATATATTATACTGTATTAGAATAGATTAAAAGACACACACGGTTCGATCGAAAGACAATGTGCCTCACCGTTCGCCGTTTGTCTCTTATTATTTATATTTCCCGTCTCTTCGTACGATTCGAACAACACAGATACAAGACACGCGATGAGACACATTATGAGTGTCTCGAGTTTTCATCTTTCGTTTTCTTGTAAAATTTCCATACACACAGTCGACAGTTGGTAGCGAGGCTGTGACCGTCGCAACTTCAGTGCCTGCGTCCATCGATGCGAAAACGACAGTGGCTCAATCGACAGTGGTTCATTCGATCGCACCTCAACACTCGATCATACCAACTGCCCTCTCGCGAATAAGCGAAGATTCCGCCAAGCCCGCCCCCGCTCCTCACAGATGTTTGAACATTGCTGGCATCGAGAAATATCCAGATCTTCAGGGCGCTCTTCCACGGGCTTGGAGCGTTCCCGCGTTAGCGCCGCACGTTCGCGCCTACCTCGAAGCACCATTGGTAGGTAATTGCTTCGCACCTTTACGTTACTTTCGATTGCCTGTTACTTTACAACGGAGAACGAGATGTTCTCTGATGTTCGCACACATCCACCCGTACCGAGTAATCTTCATCGTCCCGTTTCCACCTCGTCTGACAACAGGTTCAACAAGCTGCGTTCGACGATCTGTTGTACGAGGTTGACGTCATGAGAAACATAGCAACGCGTTACGACGAACCGAGGCAGAGCCCTCCGCCGCGAAGGGCCAGTGTACCAGCGGTTGCTTTCTCACCACCCAACACGATACCCAGCACACCTGGCGGCGAAGAGGAAGAGGAGGCTGTGGCAGGCAGACTAGAGATCAGAGTAGTCGATGCAACAGGTGGTGCTACAGTTGTACAAACCACCGCCGACAGAGAACCATTGCAAAGTAAATACAAACGCTTCAATCTAGTACCTCGAAATTTCTGAAATTACATCCGTTCAAAGAGAACACGCTGTTGTCGTCGTCGTCGTCGTCGTCGTCGTCGTCGTTGTTGTTGTT